TTGAGACTCACATAAAGTAAATAATTACTAAAAATATTTTACAGTAATTCATTCATTATTTTATAATAACAATATCACGTTAATCACTACACTATGTGGGCGAACAAAAACAAAACCGCCAATATATACTATAATGTACTTGCTAATTATTTTTTTTTGTCACAAAACTCTCATTTTTTCTAATCACATTTTGTCAACTCTCCGTTTCCAGGGTATTGAACATGAATTTGAAATTAGTTTTGTTTGCGATTTTTTCAATTGAAACAAATATTTTATTAATTTTCAGCTATCTCGAAATGACGGGAATTGATAAAATTTCATAAAAATTTGAGACTCGCATAAAGTAATATTTTACAGTAATTCATTCAATATTTTATAATAACAATATCACGTTAATCACTACACTATGCGGGCGAACTAAATTATAAAGCTAACCCTGGAAACTTGTGACGTCAACCGAAAAATGGCGTACATATTTACCTTTTATATATTCCTTTTTTTACTTACCTAAAGAANGCTGTCGCATATGGTTGTAATATGTGTCCTGGCGGTCTCTGAAACAGAAAAGGTTAGCGGCCAGAGGGGGATGTCGTTGGGGTGGTCACCCTGGGTGAAATAGACAGGGACGTACTGCCACCCACTACTATATTGACAAAAAATAATTTGTCTGTAGTTTGAAGACTTATGCAACCAAGGTCACGTTTAGTAAGAATATGAAAGATAATCAAATAATTAAATCATAAATTGTATTTATTTATTTCTCTACTATTAACATTATATAGATACAAGAATTGACCCTTCAAGGTAGATTAAATTAAGCTCGTTATTAACAATATCAACCCCTCCTGGGAGCTGTATGACCTTGTCGTTAGTGGAGGGACTTAAGTAGCTACAGTAAACCCAAGAGTAAACCGGCGGGAGTTTCATACTCCTGGCAGGGTCACCCAAGCCGGAAAGGTGGAGGGAGGGTAGTGAAAACTAAGAAACAGCTCAGCTACCTAAGCCAAGGTGAAAATGCATCGTCCCGAGGGCTGAATGGTGCGGGGGTAGGTAAAAATGTCGCATCGCGAACGATCTCTTTGGGGAACCTGGCACACCCCATCGTATTTAGCCTTCCGTCAGGTATGGGGCACTTCCTGGCAGCGACTTTTATTTCCTCCAGACTCGTGAGACCTTTATGGACCAAGAATTTAAAAAACAGGAACCCGAAAAGGGGGCCATCTACATTTGCCGGGGAAGCAGTAAGTGCTGACCGGGCAGAAAATAAAACAGCCACTGGGAAGCAAACACCAGTGACTGCTATCTCTAGGGGACTCGACAGACTGAACCTGGAAGGTAGAAAACAATTGTCGGGTGCGCAAAAGCGCAAACTTAAAAAACTGCGGAAGGTAGAGGCGGGAAAAGGACAGGAGCCGGTGACGGAACCTGGCTCGAGTACCTACCACTCCGACTCCGCAGACAGCTGAACCGGGGCCAAGTGTACTCGGAAAAAAGCGTGGACGGTCAGACGGTAGTGAGCCGATTTTCGACCGGCCTGTTTCTAAGGCCACGGGACGGCGTGGTAAGACTTACGGGAAGGCGCTGTCGGGGATTCAAGCAGTGGTGGTCCCCCATGGATACCAGGAAGTCCGAATGGATGAGGACTAGATGGGATTTGTCCAGTCGGCGCTTCTGGGGGCCATTGATGGAATCGCGGGCGAGGGTATACGACCGCGCTTCCTGGAGCTAGCGATCATCGCCTTCAACAAGGAGAGCTTGCAATGGTTGAACGGCGAGCTTAGGCCTTGGGAGGGGGCTAGACTCAGCGCTGTTGAGTCTAGGGACCTACCTAAGTTCACTAAGTTAATCGTATGGATTCCGGGTCATCCTGATGAACCGGAAACCATCATGTGCCGTCTGGAAAACCAGAACGGGGAATTGAGGACGGGAGCCTGGAGGCTAATCAACCGCAAGGTTGAGGAGAAGAGCCTGACCCTAGTCCTCTCAGTAGATGAGATGAGTGTGAAGGTACTTCAGAAGGAGGGCCTCAAACAATTTCTGAACTTCACCAGGGTCCTTTTAGGAACCTGGAGAAGGTCAGGGTAGATTTGGGACCTTCTGATGAAGATCAGGAGGACCAAAATCTGTATTATCTGGTCAAATTCCAGGTAATACAAGCGAACATTCAGCACAGTAGAGCGGCATCTGCTGCTCTCTGTGCCAGTGTGGTGCGGGCAAATGCGGATTTGGCTTTGATCCAGGAGCCTTGGGTACATGGATCCCGGATCAGAGGATTGCAGGTAAGTAATGGTGGCTTACTGTATTGTAGCCACCAAACTAGACCTTGGGCTTGTATTTATTACAAGAGTAATATTAACATGTTTCCTCTTCCACGGATGACCTGGTGGCGGCCGAAGTGCCTTATGTATCGGAGGGAACGCAGAGACAACTGGTGATTTGCTCAGCGTACCTCCCTTGTGATAAGAAAGAATCTCCTCCAACCAGGGAACTGTGGGAACTGGTAACTTGGTGCGAGAAGGAGAAGAAACAACTCATCGTGGGATGTGATGCCAACTCACACCATACGGTGTGGGGAAGCAGCAATGTCAACGATCGAGAGGTGAGTATTTACTAGATTTTCTTTTTAGTTATAATCTAGAGATTTTGAATGTCGGGAACGAGCCCACCTTTGTTATAAAAAATAGGAGTGAAGTTATCGATATAACAGTGGGATCGGGACAGGTATGTAATAACATTGCAAGGTGGCATGTGTCGAGTGAGCCGTCAATGTCGGATCATAGACATATCCACTTTGAAATCATAACGGATTATAATCCGCAAGTAAGAATCTACAGAGATCCGAAAAGAACTGACTGGGACTCCTATAGAACGGAGTTGCAGGCCAGGACTAGGGAAATATGTATAAAATTAAGGAACACATATGATCTTGAGAGGGCTGTGGAGGAACTCCAAAACGCCGTCACAAGATCATATGAATATAGCTGTCCTATCAAAGTGAGGTCCGACAGCACACCG